ATCAAAATCAGTAAGTAATGTCGTGTTACCTGTAGCTGAACTAATTTAGGGTTCGATGTACGTAATACAATAATACAAAACAATATTTATTTAATTACAAAAGTATTTTATTAAGATGAATGATGATGAAAACATACGGAATGAGAATAAAAACAAGTAAGAAAGCTCTAGTCGAGACTGCTCGACTATCTTGTATCTTCTGAAATCGACGCGCTCAAACACACTGACAGAGGAATAGACGGACGGACGGACAGACAGATAGACGGACAGGGCTAAATCAACTCAGCTCGTCGCCCTGATCAAGAATATATATACATTGTGGGGTCTGCCACGCCTCCTTCTGCCTGTTACATACATTTCAACAAAATCATTATACCCTGACCTTCCGTTAAAATTGGGTTAAGGGTATAAATAATAAAAAGAAATAATAATGAAGTTTTCCAAACACATGTCAGAAAAAAATCATTGAAAACTATGATGTTCAGGTTGGGATACACTCTGGATTAACTTATTAATCGGATTTTGGTAAAATGCAAGAACAAATATTGCGGATGGTTTGCCGACACGTGATCGGTCTAGTGTTTCCCGGCAAACGTTGCTTTGCCCTATCCATTATTTCTAGGTGAATTGAGGTGATTATTGTTGCAACGGGCATCCACGCGATTGGCGAGTGCGCGTTCGGAGTCCTCGCCACCCATAAAGTAAATTTGTAAAAATTTATAAGGTTCGTTTGGCATTGGTAGCAATTAACCGACTTTGTGGTAAACTTGGCCTTTGATTTTGAATGTGGAATTAAATTGCTGACCATTTGCAGCAGTATTTTTAACTATTTTCGTTGCTCCAAACCTTGTCCAAACTACGAATCTGCGCGCTTCTCTTCTTTCTAATTGTCTTTGCTCATCTCATGTCTCCTGCAATTGTGATGCACGTAACTGCGCCATGCTTACACGGACATCTGCATTGCTTTGTTGCCTTTCTTCATCTGATCTTTGTGCTCTTCTATCTTGCATGCCTCTAGATTTGAGTGCTCGACGACTCAAATTAGCCCCCTTGCGTTTTCGTGTTGTCTGTTAATCAAACATAAATAAATCAAGTTGACAAACTGATTGGTGATAGACAGTGACGTAATATTGTATTCGATTGCTCATTATTTGCCTTACCTTTTATACTAATAAAACACGTATATTTATTAATCACGTTCGGGTATTAATAAAATGTGCATGAATAATTTTTTTACATAAGAGAATGACCGAAAACTGCCACTTTTATCAAGCCTACTGAGTAAATTCTCAATGACAATGCAAAGATCCTCTATAGCAATAGAGAAAATAACGTATTTTCAAGTATTCGTCAATTTTTCAGTATATATTTTGCTATTCGGGGCGGAGACAAATCTAACAAATCAAAAACCATGAAAATAGGTCCAGCAGATCTCGAGTTATAAATGTTTGAGCTTCCCGACTTT